AGTATTGAATCACAAACTCTGACCGAAGTTTCACAAGACTTTGCGTTTCATTCAAAACATTTTGTCTCTCTTTTTCTGTTAATCCTTTTAGAAAAGAAACAAATATTATAAAAATTATAATAACTTTTAAAAATAAAATACAAAATATTTACCATTTAATTGGCATATCTTTATTGCATAGAATTCATGGTCACATTTATTCTTAACTTTATAAACCTGTCCATAGCCACCCTCACCAAGTTTATTTATTACATCAAATGAGTTTTCAAATGATATTGAATTATTAAACATATCGTTAGTTTCTATATTAAAATATATTAATAATAATTCAATTTACAGAATATTAAGGCAATGATTAAACATTATATTAATATTTACCACAAATCTGTGTATGATATGGTGAAATAGTATTTATAGTGATTTTGCATTCATGGGAATTGAAATCAAATGATGTATAATTGGTTTCAAATACATTTTCGTAAACAATTTTATATATTTTATGACCAGATTTTCCCAAAATTTTTGGGTCATATTCTCGATACAAATATAATTGTTTGATTTCATTGAACACAAGATGCGATAATATTTGCATACATTTGTTACGGAAATTATATCCATATAAATGACCATGGTTGGATAATAAATATATATATAAGTTATTATTACTTAAACTAGATGTACTTACTGAAAGGGCATTGTTTATGTTAATTGCATTTTCCATTATATATGGTGTTTTTATTATATTATTATCTACCTTTCCCCATATAAGCACCTGCCCCTCGCATGTTATGGCAAGTGATATATAATTATTGCACACAATTTTACTAATTTGGGATTCAATGGCAAATTCAATACGAGTTGGATATAATGGAAAACTGTTTTCGCCACAACCAACCTGTCCCTCCCTATTACACCCCCACCCATATAACTGTCCATTTGATGTCAACACAATTGTATGACACTTCCCACAACTTATTTGTGAAATAATTAAATTGTTTGATCGGATAAATAATATAGTATCCGGTTTATGGAATACATTAACACCTCTAAACACATGCCGTCCCAATTGTCCCTCATTATTGCGACCGAAACTGAATATCACATTATTATCCGTATTGACAGCCAATGTAAAGTCTTTTCCACTGAAAAACTGATGAATATTTTGATGGCATAATTGTGGCACTTGTTGTGGTGTATGGATGAGTGTGTTGTGTCCTAACCCGAGATGACCCCACTTATTAGATCCCAAGCCATACACCATATCATCAAATGTCACAAACACTATGTTATATCCCCTCCAGTCATCGAAAACATAAAATAATTTAATTTCTTGTTTTAAACCTTCGGGTATTTTATCACAAATTTTATAGTTATTTATAACGGAAGCCATAATTATAGCAGATATTAAATAATTATTAATGAGTTTTATTCACAAATTATTACTGTATTGACTTATGAAATAAACTTGTTTTTAGTATTATTAAATTCATCAATAACTTTAAAAAATTTCTGAATTATAAAATTAGTTTTAAACTTAAATATAGATTGGCAAAAATGCATAAATATCTAAATATTGAATTTATTACTAATCATAATTATTAATACAGTTTAAACAATAATTATTTGCCACAATGGTAATAGTTTATTGAATAGTTCATTGTAAATAAGACTGATTATTGCTAAGTATTAGTTTATTTGAATTATGATTATATTTTTGATAATAAATTAAATTAAACTAATTTTGCACTAATTTACTTTACTTTTATATTGAATATATTTTATTATAGATTATAAACTGAATAAGTTGTTTATAAAATTATAAATTATTAAGACAAAATTATATATGTTATCTGTTGACTGTGTTCTTGGTAAAAATATGATTTATATAATGTTAGTTTTATAGTTATACTGTATTTGTATTATTAAATAATTATTTGTTACTAAATATTGAAATATAATATATTGTAGAATTTGAAATTCTCTTTATTAATAATTTATGAAATACTTATTAAATACTGTACCTTATAACTATTATAGTTTGTAACAGTTATATAAGTTTGTCCTCTATTTGACTTTCAGGTATAGTCTACCTTACATTAATTGTATGTCTCCTGTATGTCTGAGGTGTCCGGTTACTCCAACACCTGTTCACGTGTACATTACACAATACCTTACCTGATATACGTTTGTCTAACGTTGGCATTAAAATATGATTTTTGTTATGTTTGACTCTTAAGACAGAGTTGTTTTGTATGTTTGTCTGAACTGTTGATTTATAAAAAATAATTTGATTTATTTCGAATGCTTAGAACATAATCTATATTTATGATGTAGTCTCTGACTATTACCGACTCATGCAAGTGGCCAACGCGGCGGTCACTCTGCAATATTCTCAACTTTTCTGAGTGTTATAGTTTTTATTTGTAAAATCTTTGACCATTTATTTGGTTGAAAAGTTTTTATTGAAAAGATTAGAAAATAATTTATTTTAATCTTTTTATTTAATAGATTATAATTAAGTCAAAAGGTTTTAATGACAGTTAATGTGTAGTGAATATAATAGTGATATAACTTATGGTCTATTCATAAGAATTATCTCAATACTGATCCCACATTACATTTCATAATAAATCTCATTCAACAAAATGGTTTTAACATTTTAATACATATTGTGAACAATGTTCAATCATCTCAATGAAAGTCTACACAATATTCACTGAAATTCAACTCTATAACATTTCATTTATATAAATTATAATACTAATTACTACTTATCTGAAAATATATGTTATTTGTATTCTTACGGCGCATATTATTATTTCACATATTTTGTATAAATAACTTATCAACCTTATATAATATATACAATACAAATGACATTATGAAATATCCAATTATATTGAAATAAATAAAAGTATTTTAAATGTCAAAACTCACATGTAATGGTATTTTACTTACAGTGATTTGCTCTATTACAATTTATTTATAGATATGATAAAAATACCATGACAATCATAGTAAATCAAATTTCTTATTAACAATATATGTAATTAATAGTGTATTTGTTTGTAACGTGTTTTATGTAGTATTAAATTTCTGAAAGTTCTGACAGTTCTGAAGGGTCCAAAGGAGGACAATCCTCCTCACGGAGGACGTTATGGTCACCCTATCAACAATGGTTTTTCTGAATTGGAATCATAGGCCGGAATGCAGTGAAGTGTTGCGGAATCATAATGAGTGGTCTATTGATAGGAATATTCTTATGAATTGTACAGAATTTCACAGAACATTAAATAGACTGAAATCCAATGAAAGCTTATTTTTCTGTTAATTCTTGTCAACTGTTATCATACGAGATGTGACACGACTTACAATATCCTAAAGACTACGAAATAGTTTAAAACTATTTTAAAATAAATTTTTATTTAGATCTATATTTTATTGCTTAATAGTGTGGTTTATTATTTTAATTGATTTACAAATAAATTTTTCAAACTTTATTTAATGAATTGTGTCAAAAATTGTACAAATTTAGTGTAAACCTAATAGTTTTGTTTATTACTTATACTATTATATAAGTTACAAATATTTTTCCAAACTATGAAATCTAACTTTAAGTATAACTTAAGATAAGCAATTTACAGAAATTAATATTATTTCATCAAATAAAGATTTCTTGTATCAGATTAATGCTGTAATGAATGGCAGAATATATCAGAATATGTTACAAATGACTCATAAAACCATTTTAATTGTGTGATTATAAGGAATATAATTATAAGAATCGGAAATAATTTATTTTAAAATGTTTGGATTATTTGAAAAAAGTTTTTTCTTCTATAAAAGTGTTATCAAACAATGGTATGGATTGGTTATTGGGGTCATTCATAAAGTACATACTTCTGTCAGTCATTAAAATTCACGATTAACACTCCCGTATAACAAATTGAAATATAACACACTAATTGAATCAACATTGAGTGTTACTTTTACTTATATATTAAGTAAAACTAAATATGCAAGATTATAAATAGACTAGATTAATCAAAATATCTACAAATGTAATTTAAATTATTAAAAAGTAATAAAATTTACATTTGAAAATTTTTTCGAATGTTAATTCAAACTCAGTTTGAATTTGAAAACATTGCTAAATAATAAAGCAAATTTCTAAACCCGTTTTAATTATGAATAATTTAAATATAATAATAAATCATATAATAATAACTCTAGTAACTGACTTAACACCCCCTCAATCCCAACCCCTTCGAAAGTACATACAATTGAATGACGTTTTAACAAATAATAAATGAATGAATTTATTTAATATGATTTATAGTTGTTTCCGAAGTCAATCAATACAAGCGTTTTTGCGAACGGTTGCATTCATTAGGTGCGGCAGCTTTTGGGGAAGTATTTGTTGCTAGACATAAATCTGATGGCGGAGAATATGCGGTTAAAAAAATAAGATTTGAAAGTAATTTATTGACATTTAGATATATTTAGTATAACTAATACATCATTAAAATGTATTATAGTCTATTTGTAAATCATATTTTTAAAAATTTTGAATTATATATAATTATCATAATTAATTCACTTACAGGTGCTGAAAATTTAAGGGATTGTATGAAAGAATTCCATAAATTGAAAAAAGTATGTTCAGAATATTATGTCCAATATATGAGTCAATGGAGTGAAAACAAAATTTATTACATTGAAATGGAGTTATGTTCCCATAGTCTGCAGAATATTCTTCAACACAAACCACAAGTATTTGGTCGACAACCGGGAGAATCGATGAATTCAATCGAGTTTTACATTTCGTGTCATATATTCAAAGAGATCTTAGAATGCGTTCAATATTTACATGAATTGAATCCTCCGGTTATTCATAGAGACCTCAAACCCGACAATATATTGGTTGCGAAGACCGTAAGGAACGGCAGGTATTTAAAGGTGGCTGACTTTGGGTTGGCTACTGTTCACCAGCACTCATCAGGTAAGGGAGATCTGAAATATCAGGCCCCAGAAGTGGGTCAGGGAGTGGTATATAACCATAAGATAGATGTCTAGAGTTTGGCTATAATTGCAGAAAAAGATACTTTTGGGATTCATTTGAAGGAAAAACTGTAAGATAATGTGAATTAATATTTAAATTATTTAACAATTAATTGAGTTTATAATATCTACTTAAATATATTCTGTAGTTTAGAAAAGTATTCAGACAATAAAGTTATAAACAAATGTGTGATTAAATTAACACAAGTATTGCATTCAATATCATTCTATAACTGGAAACACCCGCACATAAACGGCCCTCACTTAACAGACAGACCCGAGTGTTCACAAGTATTATCGGAATATAACTTATGGTCTATTCATGAGAATTGTCTCAAAACTGACCCCACATTTGATTCCACACTAAAACTCATTCAACAAACGAATACAATTTTTTTACGGAATATTTTAAATCTAAATACAACTGTAATTTGTAATACAAAAATATTTTTAAATTATTAATTTGTTTGCTACAATTTGTAATAAAACTCAATAACGTTAAATACAATGTATGGTAACAGAACTGTATAACATGTTATCACAATGCGATAAAATATTACAAAAAATACAATTTTCGAACAATTAGTGCAAAATAAATAAAACTCATAATTAGTGTACGGAAACAATAGATTTCAATAACGGGTCGGAAGAGGCGTTCAATTAGGGCCAGTAGTTTGAGTCTCAACTTCAGACTCAACCCATTATATGAGTCCTGTTTTGTGATGACATGTATTCAGTAATAGATAGGAATTGTGGAGTATTTTATGGAAAATCAATTCAAACGACTAGTGCCTCACAATTACCACTACTTTCGCAGCATTGAAAACTTGACACTCAAAACATGCATCAGTATTAATCTTTATAAGTTCACTTTATATATTATTATTATGATAGTTAATAAGTTTGTGCACATCATTAAATATTAATTTGAACAGAAAATATATATATATATAATTATGGTATTAATAGATAGCATGGACAATCCAATCCACATACTAATAGTACCGCCAATATTATAATATATTATAATATATTATATAATATAAGTCAATGTAATCCATAGCCAAGTGTTCAGTGATTTGTGGCTCAAAGTAATGGTTTGGTATTAAATTGATCTGGGTGTTATTCAGGTCAGACTTAACATGCACTACATTAATCTCGATCATATTATTTACACAAAAACGTTTATCAGGTTTTTTACAAGTCTTTTGTATTTCCTTAATAACAGTTTGATTCACAGAATTCGTATAATTAGCGCAGAATTTATATCCAGAATATTCCAAATGCTGTTCAATACTAATGTCATATTTGAGACCAAGGAGTGGCACACAATTGAATGTATTATTTAATTCAAACACTAGACAATTGTAAACTGAAATTGTTTTATCATAATAATTGTTATAAGACAAGTAGTCATCCCGTGTTCGCACACTTTCTATACATTTAAATGAATCCCTATTTAACTGTAGAAACGATTTCGTACTAAACATGACATTAGTTTCGGTGTTTGTGTCGATTATTGTAAATATAGACCTTTCACTCGACTCTATCTCTAAAAGTAATGAATACAATCTACGGCTCCTATACCTCAACACAATTCTCTCCAATCGGCGATCAATTAGTCGTGATTTAAATGTCGACATAAATTCATTGGTTATGTTTGCAAAATGATTATGTTGTAACCAGGGTAGTTCAGATCTAGTGTTAAACAGTAAGATTTGATTGTCATGATCAGGGCACTTTAGTGGCAACTCATTGGTGAACATAAAATAGCAATCAACAGCTTTATAGTCATACGGCGATATAAAGTCATAGTATTTTCAGACAAAACATTATAATTAAGTTTTACATATAAATCATGTGAGAGAGATACATTTAATGAATTGTGAAAATAATCTTGATAATATTTAGAAATTTCTTTGTCAGGTTCGAACATTGGAAACACTAATACATTAATCCTGGGCAAACTAATACTTGATATTACATTAATGGTAAATTAATGTTGTTTTTGCAATAATCTTGGTAAATGTCATTAACCTGGTAAAACATTAATAACATACTTATAATAAGCATGGTGCGTTTAATATATTTTCCGAAAAGTATAAACTTTTTAAAATCAATTTTCCATCTTTTAATCCTTTTTAATCTCCAAATAATAACTTATATGATATCCATAGTTGTCGTGACAATCGTATAGACACTGAATCCCATCCACATCCCCATCAGTCCACCCATTGTTGACAAATAAGTAATTAAATCCATTTTTAGGCTATAATTCCAAATCATATTCACTTCTGTATTATATGAATAATAAACATATTTATCATCATTTGTAACGTCAGAAACACCAAGGTTTATAATGAAATGTTCGTATTCAATTTGACATAATTTATTCAATACATTATAATCCGGTTTCACAACACATTCATTGAATGTATTATTAAGTATTAATTGACTTTCACTTTCAAATGTATGTGAACTCCAGTAGTGATTGTTTCCACACTTTTTGCGCTCAATTTGTTTCATCACTTCTAACATACAGTCGGCTCTGGATTTGTGGCCAACACTTGCCATACGATTGCTCTCATAGTCGTAACAGTCTCTCCGATAGGGTCGGGGCAACAGTAGCTGTAAATCTGTCTCAATATTAATGCCATAAATGACAGAATGCCTGTTCATTCTCAACATTTTAGTGAAATGTGAGGAACTGTATGGTAAATGTAGGCCAACGGTAACCCCGTGCATATTATTCAACAATATGGTCACCCCATCAGTGTTATTACTATAATCATTTAAAAACGTGAAACATATATGTGATGGGTACTTATGACTTACATATACAGGTGCTATTTGTGAGCAGTTTTGTGTCCCTATTTTACAATTCATGCGAATATATTCAAAGTATTCGTGAATTGTTTTATTTTTATAAACTGAATATTCTTTATTCACGCAAACAGTGACCGAAAGGTTTAGACTATAATCACCAGAACCACTTGAAGTCAGTGTTCATTTCGTACTCCAAATAATTGATTGTTTGGTCATATATTTGGTACACAAACCCTGTTATCATTAATAACTTAAATAATAGTTTATAATTAAAATAATATTTTATAAATAAATTCATATTTAAACAAATTTTAAAAACTTTTTTGTAGGCTGGATGAATTACTGTTTTGTATGATTATATATTATACTTTTAACTACTACACCAAAAATGTTATAATACTCTGTAATTCATGTATATAATTGAACATTAATTGCAATATTGCAAATATTTTCTGAGTACTATTAATAATTAATAACATGTATTACATTAAGGCTATTTCTATATTATTTATAAGTTTATAACCTAATTAAATATTATTTTGCCATCATTAAAATGAAAAAACATTAAAACATATATAGTAATATTAATGAAATGTAATATTAAGTAGCAACTACTAGCTTATATTGTATAAAATTAATAATAATAATAAATTATTTATTTATTTGTTTACTTGAAAATAATACAATATAATTAAACAGTATATTACTATAGAAACCCACATTTACAGTAAAGTGATTATAGAATTAATCTATTTATATTATAATATCATTTGTAATGAATTTATGTATTTATAATAAATTATATAAAGTAATCAAAAAAGTTAATATAATTTTTTTTAAAGTTTAGCAATTATAGCAATTAGCAAGGAATGAGAGTACCTGGATTAATATTTGCAGCTAAATAAACTCAATATAGACATCTTCTAAAATGATTGGGAGCTCAGACTCTCGACTGGATCCCTGTCCACATAATAGTTTTATAGTAACTCTATGTGTGAATAACATAATTAAATCTGCAATAGGTATGTGAATACATAATAGTTTATAACGTACTTAAATCTATAATAGTTATTTGGTTACGTAATAGTTTATAACAATTACAAGTTTATGTGAATAACATAAGTGGACATAAGGTTTGTATTTGAAAGTGAGCCTCAACTTGGAATTCAATTAATTAAAAATGGCCAGTACAGATTCTTATGGGCTTTGGTGTAGACACAGCAGGACATGTCCACTACCGATTTAATTAATAAAATTAATGGTGTTTTTCTATTAAAGAGGATTAATGAGTTATTAGTAAGGTTGGCCGTAGTGAAATATTTCATAAATTTCACTGAAATATTTCACTTGAAAATAAATTTCAATAAATTTCACTTCGGGTCGCCCTCTATCGGAGGAAATAGCGTCATCCATAAAGTACGTACGCAAAATTTTGGTCAAAAGTTGACCCCCTCCCCCTACACGCCCATCGTACATAGGAGTTTAAAGTGGGGACATACGTTTTGGCATGCCCCTCCCCCTCCCCCTAGGCGTGCGTATGTACTTTGTGGATCACGCCTATGTAAATCCAATGCTTTTATACATTAAAATTAAATTTCACTGAAAATGCCAACCTTAGTTATTAGTAAAGTTGGGTTAACTTCAACAAGTTTATGAAATATGCGGATAACATATTATGGAGTATATATTAAGGAGATAACATATTATATCCTTAAAGGAGTAATTGATGTGAAGCAGCGCTTCCCTCATGACAATATCAAGGGTACCGGAAAATAACCAGGGTGTTTGATATCTTGTGATTAAACATGAAAGTGATGTCTTGAAGTGGTTTTGCATTTGATTTTAGATATCAAAAATGTTATCAGAAGTGGTCGTGAAGTCTAAGTACTGTTGAGGAAAGACATTAGCGTTAATTACAACGACGAAGAGGTGGACATAACGTATGGTCTGATGGCTGTCACAGACGACGGACTCTTTGACTTCATTGGCACTCATTATACGGAATCCGATGACAAGAACTCAATGATTGAGACATTGATTACGAGTTTAGATAAGGATTTGGGCGCCGATTGGCTGCCAATTGACTGCAAATCAAATGCAATTCACTTATCGCTGGACAACGGCTCGAGTCATGTGCTTAGCGTTCATTTAAATGCCAAACAATTCACGCAAATTGAGACACATTTCAA